AAACAAACCTTTTCCCCTCCACGATACATTTATCAACCCAGCTAACAACAGCTGTAAAAGGTCACAGGGACATCATCTGTCTATCCCTGCCACAATTTCAGCTCACTTCACTGCATTTCTATGTATTTCTCTAAATAGAACATGCTTACTTAAAAAAAGTAGATTGTTTTTCTAACTGGCCAACTCAGTTGGGATTTCAGTAATATTCCTAAAGATCGGATGTCAGCTGGGTTGCAAAAGCATTCAGAAAAACTAGTGAACAATTTAATGGATGCATAAGGCAGAACAAAATTTACTTCCCTCATCAGTTATCTTCCTGTGCAGCTCTTTTAAAGTTATTTAATCAAGCAGATATGCCTAAACATGCACAACAGACCTTTCCACTTAGCTACTCTTCAGAGCAGAGTGTCATTTAACAGGTGTATGTTAGTTTATGATAAAGAATTAATACCATATGCATGCACTAAAATATCACCTAACGACTTTTGATTAATCCAATACATTCACAGAAATAGCGAGTCACAGCCTGGAGCCCAACCTAGGAGTCATCAAAAGCATGCTACTGATTTCCTTAAGGATACCAAAAAGCCACATATGCAATTTCATTATCCTGTTTTCCAAAAAAGCAGAACGAGGCTTGGCCTTACTATAATTAGAAACATTTTATTGAATAAGATAATCATATTTGGGTGCACAGCCCTTTTAAAAGAACATAATTATAAATCTTGCTTCAACCCCGCATACGTTATTAGGCCTTACTATAAAAGACACGAGTGCAGCATTACTACTCCAAGAGTTGTCATAACAACTGGCAAGCTACGTCTTCTCAAGTTGAGATCATTTATTTGCTGTTAATGGCATGTTCACGTACATAAAGTATCTACAAAACAAACTTAATTTCATTTTGCTTTCAGCTTCCATTAATACAATTGTCTAGACACACCTTCAGTCTGTCTACATGACTGAAATAGGGCTACCTTTTGAAAGGACAGATGTGGATGTTCCAGAACGGCACGTACAACTGGTAGTGCTCACACACCTGAGGTATTATGCACCAGAGCAACTATAATACACATCTGCCATCATTACTTGTTTCTTTCCATTATATCTCACAGCTAGACCTCTGAAACGGTTACTCGAGTATAAAGGACAGTTCCATTAATCAAAAATACTGCAGAAAACATTGTTTAAATTGTACCTGGCTGCTGAAAAATCTAGCATCTAAAAAAGCAAAGCTTCACTCATGTCAGATTTTACAGAATTATGGAAACATGAGCCCATTAAAACACTAAATGACAGATTAAAATGGTAATCAGGTACCAAACCAACATCTTCCCAGATACAGACAGATATTAAAAGTTCTTGCGAAAACCATCTATTACTGAAAGATTAACACCTTGTTTTTCAGGTCTAAAGCAAATGAATCTATCTTGCAGAATCATCAAAACTGTTTTGTGTTCTAGAAACAACACTGCAAATCTATATATTCCAAGATGAAAACATGCCAGAAGCTTGTGCATACAAAAGTTTTTCCAGAGTAACAAGCAGGGGGAGGGGGAAAACCATATTAACTGTTATGGATCTGATCGCTTTTGCAAACTGGATGACTAACTTCAATGAACTGAAAATAAGTTAAGAAAGGTCCATACAGACACATCTATATGCTAACCCCCTTTTCTCTATTGACAGTCCTCCCACTGCCATCTCACACAGTACTGCTTCACAAACAACCTGTCCATTGACCTACTTACTTTCCATTTCTCTAAGGTCACCCTGACCGAATCCTACCTCCTTCAAAATTTCTGGAACAAATATATGCACCCACCCACCCATATACCTTGCAAAGCCTTAACAGCCTACTCCTGTGAATATGTACTGACATCTAGAATGCAGTGGGTAAGAAAAAAAATAAATCATCTCAACAGCAACCAAAGATACAAGGGCATACAAGAGTCACACAACCAAATCACAGAGGAAAGTGGCTTCTACAACTGTGATGTAGGAAAGATTCTCCATTGAATAAGAAAACGCCATCGACAAAAGCTTCATCTTTAGCAATGCTATTGATTAATTGATGCCTGCCCTTCCTGCCCCAGCCAATCCAAGTTTCTGCCAGCAAAGCTACCACCACATCACTACTGGGTTAACAGCATCGGGTGCATTGAGGAGACCACAGACCCCAAAGCCAGCAAGCTTGTTTTTAACACAAAAGCCCAAAGCGCATTTTGGAAAAGGCAGTATCTGGGGAACCTATACAGAAGCCTGCATACAATGATAAGGCTCTGAACGTCAGCCAGCAAGTGTGATAACACTGCAAGTGAACCGTTCCAGTGGGTTTTGAGGAGTTTACTCTGAGTACCAAGCTAGGAGCATTTTAAACATGTAAAGTCTAAAAAGGCTCAACTAAGCACAAAATGGGGACAGCATAGACTTTCTAGATATTATGCCTACCAACAATTACTACTGGATGTTTTACACTCCACAGCCACTGCCAATACTGCCATCTCTTATGCCTCTTCTCCTGTACCACTTGAGATTCCACTTCTCTCCAACAGTCCTTAGTACTCTTTATGTTAGAGCACTGCGGTATTTACCTGAAAGGTTAAGACCTGCTCACTGCTCTGCCCTACTGCAGGGACTAAGGTTGCAGGGATTGTACACACCTCTATCAAACAAGTGTATCTATTGACACTACTGATACAAAACAAAGAAACATATTTTAAATAGTATTAGGCTTTAAATGTGAACAATTTTCTGAACTTTCAACCAGCTGTAGCATTTTATGAAATACGGTATTTTGAATCTGGAGAAGGTATTCTGCTAATTTTAATCAAATCCAAAGGGTTTTTTAGCTCTTGAAGAGAACAAAATCAAACACCTATTCTGCAGTGCACTTTGATCCACAGACCTTTCTAAAGTATCTGAGGTCAAGATAAGGCTCTGTTCTGCCCTGAACCTTACCAAGCACAACACCTTGTCATGGCTGCCTTTAAAGGTACCACTATCCTCCCCAAAACCTCACAACAGAACGAGTGAAATAGCCATGAAGAGCTTATCTGTATGGTCTGCCCAAAGCCCTAATGAACAAAGTCTCTTCTACTGCTCAGTAGCATACACCAGGATAATGTTCCCCATCATAAGGAAAGAATTGCAAATATGTAATTACTGTCTTATCCCTGCTGCATACTACATACTTCCTGCCTACCTGTCTTCCAGAGATGTACACAGAGCCTAAGCAGAGTGAAGTAAGTAGTTCTCCAGTACCTTAGGGAAAAAAAATAATGGGATGGGCGTTTCCCACTAAGGGTATTTTATAACCCAGTATTTTACCAGGGTTACTATTGCTACTATAGTGCATTTACATTTAAATATATTCCATTTGGAGCTGAGAAAAACGTATTTCCTTTGGAAAAGAGCATCAAATGCAACCAGACTATTTATCAAATATTTGTGTCAAGGCAAGAGAGACTATAAATCAAGCACAGGGAAGTACAGATCTGCGTTCCAGATGAAGGGTAAGAGAGTGGAAGGCATACCACTTGCAAAGAGGAACAACAATTGAGAGACAACAAAATAAACAGAGAAGGACATTCAGAAACAAGAGACCATTCTCCTAAGCAATACTATAGCAATTCTTCCTCTTGATACAATTACCCCAGCCCTACAAGACCAGGACTACAAACTGGGAAGGGCAGTACACTCCAGTTATAGGTACTTCCCACCCAAGACAACAGACCCAGCCTTGGCGACTAATCATACCCTCCCTCTCTGCCACTCCCTCCACTTGGATTATTTCCAAACCATTTTACCTCAAGACCAGGACCAACATGAAGAAACTCCACATGTATTTGTCTGTGACTAGGACACAGCAAAGACATGTTCACTCAGCGCTTTTCAGCATGTGTACAACACCTGCATTACAGTTTGCAAAGTTTACATTGTCTGCTACGCTTTTCACTCCACTAGCTTAAAATTTTCAGCACTTTCTCTGATTACGAAAGCATTATCAAACATCAATGCAGAAAAGTCACTGAAGACATTTCAGTTTAAAACAAATCCTATACATATAAAATAAATTGCACAAGCAATAACTATTCCATTTGTTTGGTCTTGGCTTCAAAAAAAGAAAAAAAAATAAAAAGAGGAACAAGTGATCCCTAATCCTGTGATCTGATGATTTGCTGCAGCTGGCAGATACATCCTCTTTGGACATTCACAGTATTTTGCTAGAGCTCTCCCTACTATCTAGTCTGTGAAACTCTCAGAGATAAAATAAAGCAAGGAGTTATGGACAAGGCGATGTCCAGCTGGTTTGAGCTTCATCTTTAGATCTTGCAGAGAATTATTGTGCTGTTATTCTGCAGGTACACCATGCAGGCCAAGAGTTAAATGGTGCCATTTTTCTACTCTAGTGTCCTACAATAAGCTAGGGGGTACTAGGAAAACATCTGGAGGGGGGAATCTTCAGAGGTTGCATAGTTCATCCCCTTCTCCTGAGATTTAATAGACTTTAGCTCTATGCTCTTCCCATCAGATGTCTTTGAAAATATACTAAGCAATGCCCCCCCTCCACCAATTCGTACAGTGATCTTCCAGCTGCAGAGCTGCAGGGGTCCAAAAATCAATCCTAAAATGTCTCAAAAAGTATCAGAAAAATGAGTTTGTTATCAGCAGACTGGAATTCATTATGCAGCTATTCATACCTCCACTGGAATATTTTTTTTGGAGCTGTAAATCAAAAAAGATTAGCATACCAGCATTCTCCAGTGTATCTCTACAATCTGTTTTCGTTATTCTTATGGCTTGAAAGCCTGTCCCCGCACCTAATGCCTAACCTAAATATATTCTGCTGCAATTTCAACCCATAACTACTTGTTTTATTCATGATGGATATGGCAAGCTGACTAACCTCTCTTTGCAGATACCTTTTAAGACATGTTTTCTCCAGACCAGTACTTCAGTATTCCCTGACTGAAAGGCAACCTCAGCAGGTGGCGGGTTTTTTTTTTGGGGGGTGGGTCTGCATCCCAGCACCTTTTGGCAGCAGAAAAAGGATGTAATAACATATTCTGGGATCAAATATAGTCATGTTTTTAAAAAACAAACACACACTCCCCCTCAACCACTCCAGTTTTACTGTTGAAGCTACAAGCTTTTAAGTTCAAAGCACTGATGATGAAAAAAACTGATGTGACCCACCTACCAAGCATGACAGCTTGCAGGCAGTGACAGGATGTCAGAGCTGGCTCCCAGTTATACCTGCAGGTAACTTTCATAAGCTGCTTTATAGATCACCTGCTGATGTCTGATGAAACACAAGTTGTATAAAACTATTCTAGAGCTAAAACAATCCAACTTCTTTTTTTCCCCCCAATCCTCAGTCAGGGCTTCTCTCTTTTACAGACTTTGTTATCTGCTTTACAGATCTTGTTATCCAGCTCTAACTTTCCCGAAGTACGATAGTATGGCAAGCTGAAGGAGATACTTTTAGCTGAAGACCTACCACTCCTCAGCAGAATGGAAAAACTGCTTCGTTTACCTTATTTACAATGCTCTTTTATATGTTCCAGTATGACAAGTGAATTTTCATGACAGTGATTCTGCTGACTCACGATAATTTAGGAACCACTACAACCCCTAGATACTCTCCCACAGAACGGCTGCCTAGCCAGCTCTTCCTTGTCTGCATAAGGTAATATTCCTCAACACAGTAATTTGAACCCATCTACACCAAAATGGCTGAAATCAATAGCATTGATTTCTTGAATTTGTCAAGATCATATAATCTGTGTGTTCAGTAAGAATATTATCTCAACATAGAAAAGTGAAAACACCAAACAGTATGTGACCCAGGACAGAGTCCTTGATGTGAATACTCTTCCCTTTAACGCACCCAAGTCCTGTCTTTTTCTAGATGTTGTGAGGGGAAGTGCTCCTCAACACTTTTCAGTATTCTGGAATTTTTCTCACCCCCACAGAATGTAAGTTCCCTAAATACTGTAGTATACATTCCATAAGGCCCAGCCAACCTGAAGACATTAAAGTTGTCATTAACCTGTTTCTCTACTTTAACTAGAGTTCAAAGTACAGAAAGGACAGTTTTCTCAAACTAACAGTCAAGATCATAACCCATTTAACATTTTCAGGGTGAGAGAGTTCCCTTGCTGAGTTTTTTTTTTAAGATTAGCATCAAAGGTCTTTTCAGACCACCTCACGTGAATCCTGATTAATCCCTTGATGATAGATGACGCATTGAAACACAATGGTTAAACACTCCTGTCTGCTGAAAAGCTGGAGACCTGTTGTAACCTTTACCACACAAATTCACCAGCAACTTCATAAATACCAACAATTTCTGTGGCCAGAATAATACCATATACCTCCATGGCAGACTCAGTCCTTTATTTAGAAGTTAATTGTTTATCACAAACTGAAGATGACAAAATTCGAAAAGAGTAACTATCATTGCCACATGCTCCTTATGTTGCAACTACGCTATGAGGGTCACACAGACATCCAGTCCCCTCCACACTAAACCTCTGTCCCCTCTGCCAGTCATTCTTGGCCATACCATTATCCACCCCGACACCTACTATCTACCTGAACGTAGAACAGATGCTGAAAACAAAACTGCTCCAAGGGAAATTAATTTACAATTATTCATTTCTTCCTATATTGGAAAAAGGGGATTTCTAAAACCACGGACAAGCATTTGGACAACATTAGATACACACACACACCTTTGCTAATCAGGAACCACCAACATCACACCATGAAGCTGTGATGTTCATTCCAGGGTGGAGGATAAGACTATAAAAACACTGAACTGGAAGTGATCACAAGATTCAAGGAAGGGGAAAGAAAGAAAGAAAGAAAAAAAGAAAAAAAAAAAAAAAAAGACATTGGCATTTTTATTAGTATCACTGTAAATCCTAGAACTTCAGTAGCTCCTGGTAAACTCCCTATTGTACAACAGTCCCTGAGGCACAAGGTCATACACTGCAAAATATTTGTTTCTGAGCATCATCTACTGCAGAAAACCTCAGTTATGTTTGGATGCACTGGTTCAAAGGATTTTTGTTAAGCCAGACCTTGGAAGTGCAACTATTTCAGATTAGTCATTTCATGGAACTGCATACACCAACACTTTGCAAAGTCTTTTTGCTGTTCAATTACAGAAAGGTCTAAGAAGCATGAAGTGCTAAAATTCTTCTTCTGATACTTTTGAAGGCCAGCTAGAGAAGGCAGGAACTGAAATAGTTAAGCACACTTTAATAAAGAAATTCCGGTTTGCTAATATGTATGACTAATTTAACCAATATGCTTCCCTTCCCACTTACTGTCATGCTAATGGCCTCGTCTAACCTAGGATTTTTAGGTCTGCACAGCGTTTGCACACACATGTATGGTGGATACTTAGCCACTATCACTCTCTATCTAAATCCACTCCCCCAAATTTAAATTTATCTTCTGACCGTACAGTAACTCATTGAAGTTTGGCACATTTTCACAGGAACATATTAACTTACAGAACACAAGTTAAACAACATCCTGGCATTCATGAAATATTCTAAGCAGGACCATGTTTCTGCCAACTTCACTGCTTTTCATCAAATCTGACAAGTAAAGAGAACATGCACTTCAATTACTCTTACTGAAACAAAAGCCACATACAATTTAGTTGGTATCCTGGTCACTACATAAGGGACAGTAACATGTCTACTTACTCTGCTGTGTCAGCAGAACAAAATGTAAACCACTCCTGCCCCTACAAATAAATTAACATAAAACTTAAAAATCCCAAACAAACTTCCTGGTATACACACTACCTCACCAACCGCAAGATTCAGTAACTACGACATTTCTCTGTAGAAGTTCTAGCAACAGTCATTCCATGGTTGTGTTCTTACAAAGTTGTAAGAAAAAGCTGCATCCATGCAAGAGCAGCCAGCACTTTACTGGAGAGAGGTGCTTTATGTTTCAGCTCTACTGAACATAGGCAGCCCTTTTCCAATCTGTTCATACAACTGAATAAAGCACGCCCTAAAGTACACTTCACAACTAAGTCAATTCAGCAGCTACACAACTAACTTCAAACATCCTGTAACACTGAAATAAAAAAAAAAGCGCAACTTTAACTCTTGAGCCAATAGTTTTTGTTCACTTAGTAAAAACAAGTACTGACACCCCATACTTCTGAAGAAATTCACAAATCCAACCACAGTATTTTTCTGTATTTAAAAAGTATCCCGCAGCTCTTGAAATACTTTTTTACATTTCATGAAAACGCTAGCGAAGACTATTTTTCTGTAGTGACTTAATTTCCTAATTTAAAACAGGAATTTCAAGAGGCACTAACACCACATACAAAGCAGTCAGATCTGTGAGACAAGGTGACCATACCCTGCAAAAATGTTTGCAAAGTATTTTTCCTAACAATTCAGAAACTGTGCACTTCCACTTGATTTGTTATATATCACATCTGCATTCTGCTCCTCTTATTTCTGAGGCATCCGCAGAAAAAACAGGACTTGGTTTTTTTTAAATGCCATCTGTTCCCTGCACATTTTCACTTGAAGTCCTAGTATGATATCTGCAATGGAAACTTCTGTGTCATATAGGATTAAGACTACAAACTAGATGAATATCAAATGCAGAGGCTGCACTTCCCTACAAACAGCTGTAAAAAAAAAAAAAAGGGAAAAAGAGGGAAGTTTCACCTGAAGCTTTTCTATTCTAAAGACAAAACTCCAAGAACTTCTTCTTAATGTACTTTTCTCTAAAAACGATGAGAAAGAATGCGAGAGGAAAACTCTTCTTTAACCTGGTGATTTTATTTCTTCCTACCACTGCTCTACACCTGTTTCCTTCCTGAGTCAGAGACTGGAAGTTTGAAATACCGGTCTCCAAATGGATGAACATGGGGAACCTTTCACAGAAATATCAGCCATATTCATTCATGAAGTAACATTTGCATGAGCTTTTTTCATAACCACCTAATATTTTTATAGAAGCAATGTCAACTCTACAGTAAATTCAGCTTCGATGGCTCTTCAATTATCTCAGCTGTTTTCTCATCTCCATACCCCCCCTTCGCTGTTTCCATACTTCGCTCAGTCACTTGCAACGTTTCAGAGTATTATCAACATTACTAACACTTGTGTCACTCAGGCCTTGGGGGTGGTGAAAGGAAGGTTGACTTACCTGGTCACGCTAATATAAAAAGACTTTTAAGCAATGCTCTTAAACGATTCTAGCATTACTTACAAGGATTTAAATAGCGACTGCTCCTCTAAAGCTGTTTAAAAACTCTTAACTTGTGCAGACACCCACTAACCACTCCGAAATCGTTCCAAAACGGCTTGTTACTAAGCTGAGTTCAATTCAAAGCCTTGAACGTATCTTTGAAATGCTAGGGGCGAACACCGCTGTTCTGATCGAGCCCAGCTCCAGCCGTTCAAGCTGCACCACGCAAGACCTTAGGCCAGCAGGGCATAAGCCACACCGGACACACAGAAATAACTTTCACGACGGAAAAAGCCACCTCACGCTCGGGCCGGGCGCTGTTTTTGTGTGAACAGATAACGACTGGCACCTGACGAGTTTCCCGGCCTCCGTTTGCCCTCCCCCCCGCGGGGGGCGGGGCTGGCAGCGGGCTGGGGAAGCTGGGGCTCGGCGGCCCGCAGCACACGTGTCACTGCTCGGCGCCGA